CCGCCCGCACCCCCACACCCACCCACACCCCCCCCCCACCCCCACACCCCACACCCACACCCACACCCCACACCCACACCCACACCCCACACCCACACCCACACCCAAAACTGAACACGAATATAATGTTGATTAACTTACAAAACATTTACTTTATTTTATTTTCTATCGAGATATTCTTGCTACATTCTTCTGTAAAAAAAATGTTCTTACACTTATAGAGAAAAGCAAGAAAACTACACCGAGATTATAATAGTATAAGATTAAAGATTTTTCAGTCGAATTTATTTCGGAAATTTGAGCAAATTTCTTTTCAAAAAAGCTAAATTTCATTTTTCACTATTTTACATTGAATTGAATGATAATAGTTACAAATAATAATCTTGTATAATCACTTATTTTTAAAATACTGAGAAAGACTGCAAGAATAGATTCATTTTAAATGTTTTGAGAAAAATATTGATCAAACTGTAAAAAGCAGCGCATCTAGCAGTTCATAGATGAACAGAGCAAAAGAAAAATGATGTGAATGCAACAGTCGACAAACAACTGAATTTGTCAAAGGGTAAAAATCAAAAAGATACTTCCTTTGAAGATAAGCTCGCTGATAATTATGAATTGGATATCATCGGTCACGCAGAAAGTTTTCATCGAACAGAAAACAAAATCCGCAAGACTCATCTTACGTAATAACACTCCGACATCGATCGCTGTGAAAATGCTCGTCAATGTACTCATTGCGACACGTGTCAAATTAAAACACATTTTTGTCTTTCGAACAACCAAAATATAGAAGATGTAGGTAGTCGACATTTGATGACTTATTTATTGTGAAAAAAAATTGATCAATCAATTTTTGGCTTTATTCAATAGAAATATGAAAGATTGTGTTGTTCGATAACTCTCTAACGTACTTTGTCATATTGATGCTGATTTATCTTGTTCACCTCTGGAAAAAAAACTCGATAACTGATCAATTAATAGAAGATATCATTGAAATATTTGAACAAAATCAAACACAGATATTATTAATCTTCACAGATGATTAGTCTTATATATAAACAAACTCTCTTCTTCTTCTTCTTCTAATTGTGTTTTCTCGTATTTCACTTTAACATATAACATGGGATGATTTCTTTCTTATTTATACATTCTTCTCATCATCATAAAACTGTTTCTCTCACTCAGATTATATATTATATCTGAATCTCAATTAGCTCTTTATTTTTTCTTTCATTTACATATTTACTAATCAACAAGGTTTCTTAGTTGTTGATATCTATCCTCTTACATGAAATTAATCGTTCATATTTGAATCCTCAATAACATTGACACTTTAGCAGATGTGATGAATTTTCAAATCCATTAATTAATTGAAATTTTTGCCTGAATAAAAAAAACTGTTTCTATTCAATATCTTATCTATATTCTTTCTTAAACTAGAACAATTCATTTGTTTTATTGAATTAGTTGTCATTATCATTCTCAAACGTCTAACATATTTATTGAAAATATATTAGTGTAAAATTCTTGTTAAGTTCATCAAATAGTTTCATATAATGTTTAATAGATCAAACTTATTTTTAACAAAAGATAATTTTGTTTAAAGTGAATAAAAGAATAAGTGTATCATTATGAATAAATGAGAAAAACTTTGAGTCAACTAACATATCCAAATATTGCCGAAATAGATAAAAATTCGTTGCTATTATATACAATAATAGATTTATTTTACTAAAATATATTTATTATTTGACCATTTATTCGAGTTATCTTAATAAAACAAACAATATATTCGAACTAGAACACGAAAAAAAAGTTCTTATGATTTTTAGTCAAATTCTGTATAAGAAAAAATTATGGAACTACGATTTAAATTTATTATTTTTTTAATAAAATGTTTTGACATTGATTAAATAGTTTCTTTAAAATATATAATAAAAAATGAAAGCTAAAAAAGATCTATCTAATTTGATTGAAAAATAAATGGTCATTTATAGATTGATTAATTAATAAACACGAATAAGAACTTGTATAGCCATTGAGACAGTTACAATAAGACCAATAAAAAAAGCTACAGCTCGACTTGGTTGGGGTAATGGAATCTTAAATAAAAATAAAAAATTTCTAATTGAACATTAAAATAATAATTAAATGAAACCTGATATGAAATTGTATGAAAAACGCGTGAAAAAAAGAAGAGACGAAAATGCCACAATGCCATATGAGGATCAGGATTACAAACAATATAACAAAATCCAATAAGTACAAATGGTATTATATTTTCAATATCATTTAAATGATTACGACGAATACGTTCAACATCAGGATCTGATGTTGTTGGTGCCAAATTTTTTATTTTTCTTGTTGCAACATCTTCAGGATTAACAAATGCCTTTTTAACAATTTTATTTTTATTTGTCATTTTAATAGAAAAAACAAAAAATACGTATTTACATTTTTTAGAAATCGTTGTCGTGCGGTTAATAATGACATAAGCATCATTTTAAGAAGTGATGCTACTGTATAAAATAAAAAATTTCGAAAAACCGTATTGTTTAATGTGTAATAAACCGTCGACGACATTGTTTTATTATGTTAGTTAATTATTAGACTTTGATTGATGCTTGACGACAAATTATCAACAAGAGAAAAAAAAACAACGGAAATTTATATTTACAGAGCTATGTGGGCAAATAAGAAAAAAAAAATAAAACGAAAGACAATATCTCATATTTTATCATGTGCCTTTTACAACGAAGTGACACACCACGAAAATAAATATTTTTTTATATCGTACTTTTTCTTTTACAAAGTACGAATGTAGACATAAGACGTGCTCAAGTTATATAAAACGTAGTGAGAACTACGAATTAATGCCAAATATAGATATTGATGCAACATTTGAGCTTGATAGGAATACGAGAAGAATAAATAATTAATATGTGGTCTGGTGTAATGGATTGGTGCAGCATCATGTATTTGTTTCTGAGCTACACTTGGTAGATACACAAAAAGTACGGAGGAAGATTTTAATTTATATGAACTACAAATACACTAATTAAGTAAACTACAAAAGAATATTGGGTGTAATGATTAAAAATGAAATAGATGTCGCTAAATTTGTATTGTTCACTGAAGAGACTGTCCTATGGCATCACTGTTCATTATGGATATCATTGACGTGAACTCATCCTCCTATATTTTGTATTGAAATAAATTTTGATTTTGAAGAATTATGATAATCTGTTATAGCGCACGACAATTACTAATTGCCTGCGCAAGAATTTTTGTTTATTTTTATTTATGAAAAAATAAAATGTTAACAATAGAAATTTATTATACGATTAACATCAATACTAAAAGAATGTGTTTACTTTGAATTCACTGTTGCATAACAATTCTCTATTACTTACAGAACAATCATCTAGTTTATAGTCATTTTGAAAGCATTCACTATCTTGAAAGCTTAATGGTAAGATATCAGAAAAAAAACAGGTTTATTATTGCCTGTACAAAAATATCTTTTATGTTATTTTCTCTTTGTAACAGAAATCAGATAGCTATACAGAGACAACAATACCTTTATGTCTTTTTTTCTAATATCTTGCAGAGCATGAAAGAAAGCTAATCATTTCAAAGGGTAGGTGTGGGTGTGGGTGTGGGTCTGGGTCGGTGTGGGTATGGGTACACATTTCTTGTTCGACAACACCCACACCCATACCCACACCCACACCCACACCCACACCCACACCCACACCCACACCTCACACCTACCCTTTGAACT